CAACTTTGTCTAAGAGCTCAGAATTAGCTGTTTCAATAGTAATTTTGTGTGGGAAAGTTTCCTTTCCAGGTCCTTTCTGGCTACCTTTTCCAGGTGCTCTTGCTGTTCAGCAGCTGTCAGAGCCTTTTGAAGTCTATTGATTTCCTCCTGTAACTCCATTCTGCTGGGGTCCTTGTGGGATACTGTCGTGATCTGTTGCTTGAGATCATTTACCTCTGGTTTCAGACCCATGAGGTTGTGGGCCAGGAAGATGATGATCTTGGTGAGCTCTTTGCAGCCATAACTCTCGCTTCCTTTTGGTCTGTTGTCTGGGCAGTTAGACTGAGCATCTGCAACATTTTGGCAAACTCATGTTGAGAGTAAGTGCTAGAGACTAAAACAAGATCAAACGAGCTAGGTTTTACAGCTAGGTTTTGCCAGGTGTGGTTAGCTGAAGTTTTAGGTTATTATCTTAGCTGTGGATGACAGAATGCTAAGATATGACTTAAAACTGTTCTTATTCTCAAATTATCACTCAGAACTTACTAATGGTTCACAACAGGCTCAATCTCTGAGGAAGTGAAGTAGAAGAGGGAGAAGGAAGATGGAGAGCATTCCTATTCAGATTATGCTTATTACTTGGTGCTCAGGACTATAGTTACGCCCTAGTATTTGTCTAGATGACTTGTGTAAGAGGGTCATAAAATTAGAGCACATGTTGAAAAAAAAACAAATCAAAAATAGAAGTGTCTCTGGTTCCTTTTGAGGTTCAGAGAGAACATCAAATCAAAGTGGAACAAAAGGGGGCATAACATGTAAATGGATTTAAAATTAGCTGACTGCTATTATTAAAACAGGGTAATCAATCTGGTATTAGGAACAATCAGTAGCACTAGTGATTAACTGTAAGATTTGTGTTGGGCAACACACCATGGCTGGTCACAGCTGCTGCGTGTTCAGCTCCCATGCCGAAGCCATACCATGTGTGTGCCCCGCCCTCCGTAGCGTGCTATTCACTGTGTCACTAAAAACACCCAATAACTTCATAATTCTTCTCTAGATAGACAGTTAAAATGTAATTAAATTTAGATTTAATTAACTAGTAACTGAGCAATAGCATTCAGGAAGGATACATCTAAGATTGTTACATTAGCTGAGAAGAATTGAAGATGGGGAAACATAGAAAAAGAAACCATGAAAATCAGAAACCAGGGATTAGGTTAAGTTCAAATTACTTCAC